CTTATGTTTTGTGAAATAATTGTGAGATCTGTGTTAAGTATTTTAACTACTGAGGATGAAAAATTAATAATGTCACGCATGTTAGAGGTTGCAATTTCCATTTTATCAATCTCTGTTACGGTTTTTAACAAGCTATCCATATAAAGATTGGATTAAATACTTCCTGACGTTGCACATAAATTCTATTATAAAATGAAGGAGCCATTTGACAATTGTGACGGTTTTTATAGAACACATTTTTAACATGATTATAGAAAGTACCAGTGAGCAGCTTTTTATAAATTATCATATGGTTATTTTGTGTAGATTTGAGGAAGTTGTTAATGTGTGTTTGTGTAAATAAATGTGTATGAGTGGAACAAAGAAAAATCAATTTTTGGAACAGTGAAGTAGCAGTGAATATTAGGTATGTGTATTTACAAAACCTTACCTTTAAAGTACACCTTAATATGTTTAGTATATGCGCGCAATAAAACAGGAACACATCATCATTACAAATTAAAGCGATATTTATAGTAAACACAGTGCATAATAATAACGGTAGTACCTGCACTATAATGTCACTGCATAGTCACGTTTGTTGTATGAGGTTATGTACTTGAGCTTCATACCTTATCGGAATAACAGGGGAATCGCTTGTCTTCCGTACATAGACACGTCCGTACGATGTCCAACAAAATTTATATGATTTCGTTTTGGCGAGGTCGCGGGCAAGATAATGTAATCTAGCCCCCCTTAGACGTCAGTTGTTCCGATACATATATTGGTGTGTCTTCCCTCGATCTAAAACCCAGGTGTTTAGCTCGCAGCTTTTCTTTATTTTTAATATTATAAGCCTTGCATTTTTGTAAAATCGAAGACTTTAGAATAGCCGAACTTGTTTCCACAATAATTGGGGTACTATTGGTGGTTACTCTCTTTGCTCGTATTCTATAAATGTCAGTGATATCATTTTCGGTTATAGGGCAGTCTATCGTTTTTGATAAGGATAAAACCATTTTTATTAGATCGTCTTTGTTTTCTTTGGGTTCAATTTGTGGCACATTCTTTATTTCAAAGTTTCCTTTTTGGTTTTCTCTTCTAACGTCCTCCAGTTGATCCTCAAGTAAAGTTATGTACTCTTTGTCCTTTTTGTTTTCGCACTCCAATTGTTCTATTCTTTTTTTTGAATTCCTCATTTTGTGCGGCTAAAAATGATATAGAGTTTTCTATGTTTTCATTTGTCTTTTTGATGTCTTGAAGGATTGGATTAATTTTCTTAAATTCATTTTGCATCATAGTTTGAAGGGCTTCCATCATATCTTGCTTAAACGCTTCCAAAGATTCCTCTTCTAAGTCACCCCTGCATCTCTTATTACGTTGGGTGACAAAGTTGGGAGTTTCAGTGTCCCGAACTGCTTCCCGATGAATATGAGAATCAGATAACGATCTGTTCATATCACTTTCCATCTTGTAGTAAACAATGCGTTCGAATACTGCGCAGTTCAATTATGCAGCGATATCGTAGCACACAGATGCGAAGATCGTAACCGCGTTGGTTTTTACGTAGGCCGTAGTAGCCCGTAGCGCGCTCTTCGTAGCGGTGATACACGACCTTGTGCGTTTACGACGTTGCGGTGCGAGAACGGGCCAAAAAATAGCAGTTGACACGCTTGCACGTGAGGTATGAGGGGGACGCGATACGCAGGCAGATGTCCGCAAATATTGTGATGGATTAAATATTTTTAGGTTAATTTAGACTATGTCGACTTTAATGTGACAACGATTACAGCGGGTTTTTCTATGTATATTAGTTACGAATTTGAAAAATAAAGAGCGACACGTCTACTCACTAACAAGTCTCGGACGAAAGAGCGAACGTAATAGAGATGAAGCGTATATACTAGAACAGATCCAGGGACTAAGTATTTAACGAGACTAGGTTGCACCTATTCCAACTTTTAAAATACTTGATCCATCTAGTCTCACTGTGCCTACGCGTCGTACTCGTATTTTGTTGCCGTAGACTGTAGTTACTAGGCGCTCAACTCGGGTCGTCTTTGCCTAAATCATTAGTTTGTCAGGCATTTGAATTTGAACCAAATTTTAATGAACATAAAGGTAACGTGACGCGCACTCGTGTTTGTTGTGTAATAATATATTCTGTCCTTTTTTAACTAGACTATTCCGTTGTCTTTCTATCTTTGTCTGTCAAGACTCGAGACTAGTCGGGACTCGGACTAGTTCAACCAAATACTATAGTACGAGACTAGTCGGGACTCGGACTAGTTCAACCAAATACTTATACAAGAGTACAAGGCAGGCGAGTGTCTATTGTCAAATACGGTACGGACTCATGCGAATGTGATCTCGGTGGACGCTTTTCCATGACTACATAACATAGTATTGGAAGCGTAAACAATTTACGTTTCGATGATTATGTAATATATTTTGATGAATATACATTAAATAATTAATATAAGTAAATGTGTCATGCATGCTTTTAGTAGTATAAAAATGCGTTCATTTACCCACATTTACCAATCTATATATTTTATAATCGTTCGTAAGGAGTGAACTTCAGTCGTGCGCCGGAACTGGCAAACTCACTTTTTATTTTTCAGAACAATTCTTTTTTTAATGTTATTATATAATATAAGAATTATGCAAACAATATTCTAAAAAAAATATTATAATTAGGCTCGTTACTATTAAGATTATATGAGAGATAAATGAAAATAATCCACTTTAAATTCTCCCTTCCGTCATTAGTATGAACTGCATCAACCAATTATAGAATTATAGCAATAGTAAAAAAAACATAGCAGCTTAAAATCAAGACATACAAAATCAATAGGTGAGTACTCCCATTCTAGAGTTTTTCAAATAAATCAAAGATAAACATCTTTTAAAACAAATTTTACAAAATATGAAGTACTACTAAGTAGCATTTGAAGTAATTGGAAGTAAATGATCTTAATTTATTTCTCATATAACCTTAATTATCGTAATTTAGTTACGAGAATAATTATAATAATTTTGTAAAGTATGAAGGGAAGATGTATGAATTCATTATTGCACACGTTTCAGCAGTACGCACGTAAAATATGGTACTTGAAACTATAGCGTATCCTATTCCTATTCCAACAATACTAAACTTTATGTGTACTTGATACTTTATGGACTAGGTGGAACAGGTATTTGGATCGAGTATTTATACGGAATTGGACTAGGTGCACCTAGTACAAAATTTACCTAGTACGACTCATCTCTAGAACGTAATGCTGCTATAATTGCCAATTTTGGCAAGCGGATTGATATCCGTACTTTATTTTTATTCAGCTGTTATCAGGAAGACGCTGCTGCACATCAGTATCAGTTTCCCTCGGTCGCCTCTTACGACACCCACGGACGATATAGGGTAGTAGATTTTCTTACACCGCCACTGATACGGTTGTATAAGTTTACATCTAAAAATAACGTGTCGTATTGTTTGTTAGTGATAATCTTCTAAGCTACTGCACTGATTTCAATGAAATTTTGTACACTGTGCAGTTTGGTCCAACTTGAGAGAGAGCATAGTTTTTAACCCGATAAGTGGCCCTCAATATTTTTTATTACGAATTTAAGAATTTTTGTAGAACAAAAGGTTGTCGGAGAGGGCAGAACCACGTCTGCCTGGCCAGCTAGTATATTATATAACCAAGCAATTGATAGTACGCGTTTGTAAATATTACACGTCGAGTTTTATAATCAAACTAACGGCTATAATCGGCGAGATTCGTCTTTATATAGTGTCTTTTCAGTCGTATTTTATATCCGTCTAGTATTTATTAAAAGCCATAAACAATATTGTTTTGTAAAAAGTAATAAAAAATATAGTTTAGTCCATGTCATCCTCTAAGTGTCGCAAGAGACGACAGGATGTAACTGAAACAGAAGATGGACGGCAGTATTTTCCTGTGGAAAGCTCAAAATAATAAAAAACTGCGATTACCATCTTGCCCGCCAAGCTTGGCAACTATGGCAAATATCCTCCAGTAGGGAAATCTATGGGGAGACCTCTGTTTAGCGGTGGACTTTGATAGGCTGTAATGGATTAAAAAAATTACATGCTATATTGAGAGCTGTGGTAGCTCAAGTGTTATGTACTATTTAAAGTATAACTACTTTGAACTGCACCTGAGTTAACGATAAGAAACTTAAAATATATGTAAGTCGCTCCACAAAGCTGAAGCTAGTCGATAGTCATTTTCTAAGTCTCGATATGATGTGATCATCACGGCCAAGAATATAATTTATATTTTTTTTTATATTGGATAGGGTGACAAACGAGCACACAGTCCACCTGATGGTAAGTGGTTGCTGTGGCCCATAGACACCTACAATTATCTTCCATTTCGAATCGAAATGCAGATGCGTTGTCACCCGTGAGTACTAAGATGGAATGCCTCATTTCCAGTAACAGGGTCTCTGGTTCTCTACACTCACCATACGAAACACAGCAGCATTAAGCTACTATTTTACGCTGGTATTTTGTGAGAGCGTGGTCCTTCCCCGGTCGAGCCGACCCATTCGTGCTACAACTATACTACTAATATAACTGCAGCATGGCTCTACGACGTATGGCCGTGAAAATTCTGGTCAGGAATATCTATCTAATGAGCTGCAGGTTTTTAATTCGAATTCCATCATCATTACAGTCCTTTACAAGTCCACTGGTGAACATAAGTCTCCCACATTCATTGACTTCTTGCATATCTTACCAGGTTGTCACTCCATCTAGTGGATGCCCTACACTTCGGTTATCGGTTCTAGGTTGCCACTCGAGAACCTTTCATCCCCATCGGAGTTTGGAAGAGACTCGAAACACTAATCTTACTATTTGTGTTATAGTTGAAGCGATATGTATCACTACATTAGAACGTCTGATACCACACGAACGATATCGTGTTTTAAATGCACGGGAAACACATCTTACATCTTATCTCGTAATAAAAATTGGGATGTTTTTATTTCAGAGATCTACTTGAATGGAACGGATACGAAGTAGTAGACAATATTGTTGTTTACTCGCGCCTAATAGTCGAAAATATTTCATTGGCAACACCAGATAACGAGTGGCAAGAGAACGATGCGTTGTCCGATGTAAAAAAACAATTTGAATTTGTAGATGCTCGTGATATCGCGTAGATTATTTGTCAACTTAAGTAGTTCATACTTTGTTATAAGGTATTTCGTTTTTTTGTTGTATAAAGATATAAGTTTATTGTTGAATCCTCTTTCTTGTTACGAAATTGTTATTAAAGAAAATAAGTCTAAAATTTTTATTAAAAAGTTATAAGAATGAAGAAATAGTGTCATCTTTAGATTCATTGTAAAGTTGTTTTAATTTGTGGTGTAACGCTTACATTTTACGTGTTTCTTTTATTTTAATTATTTAAAATAGTTAATGTCATTAAAGTTCCTTCATTCATTAATTAAATAGTACGATGTTTTTAAGAAAATATTTTTATTCATAACGACACTTAATATTTGGTTTGTATATTTCACTATAAATGCATATTGTTTATTAAATATTTTTAATTAATTAATAAAAAATATTGCGTATTATATTTAGTCAAATAGAGATACCAAATAACATCCTCACAGATCGGACAGGTGTATTTTACACGCTATAAATTAAGGATGGAAGCTCAACCCTTTCCCTGTCCAATTATGAACGGAATATATTATGGACATTTGTACTATAACTATAACTATTGTTTAAACTATTGTGTCTGTTTCGCGGACAGGGAACCTGTTAATTATTATCTTTATCACAAACTATAATAAAACAATATATATATATATATATACTTACCCACACATATATATGTTTGTATATATACAGAGTTATTTTGAAATATATGCCCGAAATTGCTGTAGGTTCATAAGAAGTAATAAAGCGTATTGTGAAAAAAAAAACTTAAACATTTTGTCCTTTATATCTTTTAAATTCAAAATATATGGCAACGCATTGTTTTAACTGATTGTTATTCATAAATATGTAATGTCTATTATATTACTACACACGCATATATTCGTTACGGAGTATTGAGTTCGAAAGCAGTCGGTGACCAATAGGTCTTACCCAAAAAAATTCCGTTCTGCAGTACCTACCATTTCAAATCAAAATGATTTTTCTTTGGTTAAGAATATTAATTTCAAATTAATTTTATTTTAAAAACCAAATTTTTTTTTAAATTAGTCCTTTCATCACGACGGAAATTCTCAGCCATAAGATATAGAGACACAAAAAAAAATACAGTCCACAGTAATAAATAACGTAACGGCGTAACGTTGGGGGCACTGTTAACGAAAAAAAGGGTTATGGGCTAGTAATTTGAAATATTTATGCCATCATATGTAAAAGCTCAACACCTACAGCACCCACCAGAAGAAATGGCGTGTAATATCACACGGCAATCGAAATCGTATTATTCATTTGTACGTTCTTTTTTGCAGTGGGATGTCATAGATGTGCATTCAACTTCTTATTCCAACGGCAGTACTATCTCATCGCAACTTTATGGTTTGTCTTTTTACATTATAATTTTTTTTTCAATAGCCTACAATCTATTTGGGTGGGTTTGCCTTAATCGCTAATTTTTGGAGGTGGGTTGACGATCGTATTACCAGAACCTCGCCTTCTTTTGCGCTGATAACCGTTGCCGGTCTGGTTACCGCCATTATGGTATACCGCCATCTATTGAAGATTTTCATCATAAGATTTATCTGGCATTAACGGTAGTTGGCTCATACAACAAACATGGGACGAACGACAACGTGATGGGCTGACTTTCGCCCATACCAGACGAACAAACATACAAATGTTTAAAGAATGATATATTTCATTAAAAAAATTGAGGAAGAAGAGACTAACACAGTCTGTCTTCTTTTTCCTTCTTTCTCCTTGATAGAGAGGGTGTCCCTCTCTATCAATAGGAAGTTAAGGAATGCAATAGCTCAAAATCCAGCTCTGTGGCAGTCCCTGAAAGTTGAATAAACTACAGTCAAAACATTTTGAAAATCAGAAGAATAACAAGGTCCCAAGAGAGAAAATTTCAATTTGAACTCCTTGTATTGAGATCCTTAAAATAGGATCATAAGCTTATTTGAACTACTATGATATACTCTTTAGCGTGGACTCTTCTAAGTATAAAAGAAATATTAAGGCCTATTTACACTGTATAAGTTTCTTGTCAGTTGCATAAAATATATTTAAATCAAGAATTAACATGCGCCGTCTAAACAATGTATAATATTCTGGGCGATTTGAATTCAAAACTACGACTAGTGTAAACAGCACATAACGAACCTCATTGCCTTCGCAATTCGCAAATACTTGCAATATTGTTTCTTCGTTCAATTATGTTTGTGACGTAATCAAAAAGATGTTGCAACAGTTATTGTTGAAACTTTTATTTAAAAAAAAAACTCACGTAAACAGTTACTTTCAATTCTTGAATCGTATTTATAATTGCATTCAATTATTTCCATTTCGGATGCTAGAAACTTTCACAGTGTAAATGGGACATAATGCAACGTGCGTTACTGATCGTGAGGTGATCACTGCCGCCCATGAACATCCTCAACATTGAACAGAATGCAGATGTGTTGCTGGCCGTTTAAAAAAGGATACTACTACACTACTGACTGTAATCGCATATAACTAGACCAAAATTAATGATATAGAATGGCAATTAGACCAGAAGAAAGCTTGCAAAAGCGTTCACATGCGAAAAAAAGTTAGGTTAAATGTTGTCTGCGCTGTGTCGCATCAATGGCCTAGAATTCTATAGCGTCTTCCATGCGTTCGGGTAGAATCCATACCTACTACGGTTACAACAAAGTTTGAAATTATTATTGAAGAGAGTTTATATTTAATTAACTCTTTTTGGGTATTTAAAATAATAATTTGCACTTAACTTTGTAAAACATTAGGTACTGTAACGTAATTTCATGTCAGTACCGAAAGTACTGAAAATACTAGGAAATCCCAGTTCCATCTCAGTAAAGGAGCCGGAAATTCTAGTACTGAGTTAAAGACCGGTTCTGACCCATACGTTCAAACTAGTTAGAAGGAACTTGGTCGTCGATGATTTTAGTCACTCACACATTCTTTGAAATTTGGCAATTTTTTCCAAGTGATCCAGGAATTAATATCAGTTGATATGCAGACGTCTAAGTTAAAGTTTCAATTTTTTTAACTTTTTTATTCAATGTAGATTATAAACAATACATATAGAAAGTCACTTTTTTCATTTACCACTGGTTTGCAAAAAACCTCCGTTCTGGGAAGAACCAGTATGAAACCCAGTGGGACTTTTTTTTTCAAATAATAGCTTACAATCATGTTTACAATTAACAACACAAGACAAATTAGAAATAGCTTGCTAGTTATTACCCTTCCCAGGGGTTATTATCATCCATAAATTCCTTAATATTATAATAACCCTTTTTATACAAACTTAGTTTAATGAAATTTTTGAACTTTGTGTATGACAAATTTTGTATATTTCCTGGGATTTTGTTGTAAAAGCGTATACATCGCCCCAAGAATGAATTGCTGACTCGGTGGAGTCGAGAAACTGGTACTACCAAATATTACTAGCTAAGACAACATGTATGAGGATGACAATATAGAAATACTAGAAACGTTTTCCTTGTAGCGGTCTCTTCATTTGTGTGGGTCTAGATTTATTCCGCCCCTATCTGAAACTGACAAAAACTAATCAGAAATAAGTTATGTTTCGATCCTCCACAACGTACCATACAGGTACCCGAGAAATTTTAGCACGGTTGTCATCTGCATAGCAAGTAATATTACTATATTCCATTATATCCTTGATATACGTAAAAATATGAAGTAGAAAATAAATGAAGATAGCGTGCGAATTTGTGAAACACCAGTGTCAGAGCCGGGGTTCGCTTTATTTCTTGCTTTTTACTGGTACTTAGTTCTTAAGGGTGACAATACAATTTAATGTGCTTGATGGAACTTATGCGGGTATATTTGATGCATGGTTAAAAATACGAAAAAAGTCTACATACGAGTACTGACTGATTGAGTGAATATTGCTCGGAAATGAAAAGAGGTGGTATTCATTTCCGTCATGCTGCCCTACTTCGAGGTTGTGGACTTCACATTAAAGTCTCGAAATTTTCTTAGTTTTAAGACAGGTAGATTTCTTAACGGTGTTTTCCTTCACCGCCGATGAGGTATATCTTTAGCGTGTGATTGGCTTTTAGTGTTAAAATTACTAGACATATTTTAGTGGTTCCGTCGTGATCGATTTAGGGTTACTTATCTTACACACATCAAAAAGTTTGTGATCATTAGCAAAAACTGATATATTTTTAAAATTTAATTATCATAAAAAGTGTTTACGTTATATCTTGTTTTAAATATAAATACACCGTTTAAAATTAAAAAATAAAACTTTTTTTTAATAACAAAAATTGAGTAAATCAATCCTAATGTAATTGTAACAGAAATTTGATGGAAATATGAAAATATTTTTAAACCAAATTTATACAACAATTTATTAATAGAAGGTTTTTATTTAATACAATATAACTCCTCCCGTGGCTCGCACACATGCGGTGATCATTTCTTGCGATTACCTGTCCCATTCTTGAATAGCGGTTTCCCTGATCTCTGGCACTATCTGGGAAGGTAGCTGATGGTTCCAAACAGTTCGCTTGAGAGCATCCAACGTGTGCTCTATTGGGTTTATGTCAGGCGAGCCGGCGGGCCAGTCTAACCTTGTGGTGTAGTATTCTCGGAGAATAGCATAGACTCGTTGATTTTCATGTTCGGGCGCATTATTATCCACTAGTACGAATTGGTGCCCATGGCTAACTTGAAATAATCTGACAATTCCATCAATAGGGAATGTTTTATACCTATCTGCAGTCATGGGACCTCTTTACGGGTTCAAAGGCGTTCTAGCTCCAATCATCCCAAAAGGCCCCAGTGGCAGTTCTTTGGCTTTCAGAGTCTCTAGGTCTTCTCCAGATATGGACACGTCGGTTATCTGGATGAGTACTGATTCGCGATCCGTCAACGAAGAGACAGTTTTGCCAAACCTTTTCCTCCTCATCTTCTTCATTTTGTCGGAGCCTAGCCCACAGCAATCTTCGCTCGCTGACATTACCGTGAATTTAGAGGTGCTCACCAAGACCTTCGTGGTCGTAGTCCAGCCTGTAAGCAATTTCGAATGGTCTGAGTGCTAACTTTAAGTCCAGAGGCGGCCCGCACCTCTGATTTTATTTTAGTGGCAATCTGATATAGCGCTTCTGAGCAGCAGTCACAAGCAGTTGGGCAATCACTGGGGGGTCGGTCAGCTAAATTATCCATGCCGTGGTGTCTTTAAAACGTGGCCACGACACAGGATTAGGATACAGTAAATCTGCGTGCCTTTCTCTCGTGGAATATCCTACTACCCTCTAAGTTACAATTCTAGCTCGTAAAACTTCTGATAATCCCTTTAGTTCTCGAAATATATTTTAAATCCGTTAAAATTGACTGAGTCAGATTTCTTAATGAGCTTAAGCTTGGATTGCATTTATTTTTATATGGAAAAATAATTAAATTTGATGTATTGTTTTATATTAAAAATTCTATATTTTAAAGTAAAGAATCTAAAAAGAAGAAGAAATTATAATATAAGTAAGTCTATCGTAACCAAAATTATTTCGATTTTCCAAACTGATCGTAAACTTTTAATGATGTGTGTATATTTTAAGACAATCGTTTTTCAGAAGAAAACTCCAGTTACGCGTCATGAATATTTATATAAATTAAAGATATTCTTAAAATGTCAATTGGGCATATTAAGTAATGTTACTTTATATGAACGCCCTGTCTCTAGCCCACCCCGGCTCTTTAGTCAAACAGACATCACATAATTTTTCTTGATACTAATCATTTGTGATACGGCGCATATGTTGGTTTGGACCAGGATTCGAACTCTGGATCCGGAAACTATGGTTGCCATAGTGGGTGAAAGACGAATTATTTTAAATTTAGTAATGAAAAATCTTTAGATAAATGCCTCCAGCGTGCTCTAGAAATTAAAGTAAGGAAGCTACGCACTTTACTAACTGCTGATCAAGACATCACTACGGAGTTAGACCGTGTGGTCTGTCGACTCATGAAATTGGCACTGAGGACTAGCGGGGATCAAGATGTACCGCCACCCACATCCTGGCTTCAGTTTAAATTGTTAGATCTTCTTACACTGACGGAGAGAGCGATCGAGAGAAGAAGGTGGCATTTTGTTAATAATAATACATTGACAGCGGTTGGTTACGATGGTATGTATTTATTTTTGTGTTCATTAAACTATTATTATTTTAAAATATGAATTTAAAAATAAGTATGTTGAAATGTGGATATCACTAGGCTGACACTATGCGTGTGTCGTGAGAGGTGACATAGGGAAATAAATCAAGAAGTGCATTTGCTAAGCCCGCATGTCAAGCGTGGCAACTACGGCAAATATGCCCCTATGAGGGTATAGTCAAGAAGAGATAACTATGGGTAAGGCCTATATTCAGCTGTGGTCTTTTGTAAGCTGACCGACCCACTACCATTTCAATAGAAATGGTAGTGATACGCTGAGGGAGTAGGAGTACCGGAAAAGACGCGTTAAAACCGGTGCCAACTCCGGAGCACACGTCCTTTAGCACAATAGGAGGAACGCCATCCGACCCACTCGACTTGTTGACGTCCAGGGAGAGGAGTGCTCTGCGCACTGAGCGTTGGGTAAACAGGACATCCTGCATGGAGCTCTCACTGCGCGGGATGGTCGGTGGTGTGTTCCCTACCACCATTTCAATAGAAATGGTAGTGGCTGGGTCAAATTTTAGTTAGAAGAATAGATTGACGATGGTGAAGGTAGTATCCTTAGTGGAGCCTCCTACTAGCAAACACAATATCGGGTGATCCCTTAGGGTTACATAAACATGTAGGGAATCGAAATACACAGGAAGCTTGCCCGCGCTTTATGGGAAGTCTTATGTTCTTACGGGGAAGTAATTCTCATAGTTAGCTTCAATCGACAACCACAGGTTGATATGAAGTGATATATTGTTATGTTCCTTTTACATAATGTAAGTTCGTCGTTGTCACTTAAAGACGGATATCTATAACATTAGTGTAATAGAGACAAATAAAGAAGAGAGTTAAGCCACAGTAGTCTAATGGTAGTGTTGCAGGCCATAATTAATGCCACTAGCGCCATTTAGTGTCGGGTGGCAGGGTGAGGAGAGCTTTCTAGAAAGTTCCATACTAGAACTGTCCCACTAGCGCCATCTAGTATCGAGTGGTGGAACTGGGAGAGAACTTCCTACACCTAGTCGGTCGGGACCGGTATGTGCTCGAGCATTCTGGATGTTTCAGTAGAAAAGGTCTTATATAAAGGCGTTAAGGACCGCGACCGGGGCGAGTATTAAATTGGGGACACAAGCGAAGACTTCAAAATAAAGTAAACTAAAGTGTTAAGTGTGATTAATTATTAGTGTGTTTTAATTTTTAATTGGTGTCGGTAACTAAAGTGTCAATTTTGGTAATTCAATCGGCATTTTTTATTGTCACGAACCCTAAGCTCGTAATAATTGGTGTCAGAAGTGGGATAAAATCATGCCAATTTTACCTAAAGAAGACACGGAGGGTGTCCCTACCCGAAGTCAACGCCAGCAGGATATGGACCAAAGTCGATTTGGCGATGTAACGCCGCAGACGTCGGAGGGTCAGCTGTCGGCCACGGAGGCTGGCCCGTCAGCAGCTCCTACTACTGCAGCACCTTACTTAGGTGCTCTGATGGTGCTGCAGGAGGCTCGCCGAAGAGAAGAGGTCCGTTGTTAAAGAACAGGAGGCAGGCTCGCCGACAGCAGGAGCAGGCCCGTCGATAGGAAAAACAGGCCCGTGGATTCGAAAAGCAGTTGGAGTGCGGACAGGAGGATCAGGCTCATCGTTTGGAAGAGTTGCTCAAACGCGATAAGGAAGACCAGAAGCTTCTCACGAAGGACCTTTATGTTGCCTTCGGAGAAGAGATAAGGGAGGTGAAGGATAGGCTTTCTTAACATGACAACCGCTTGTCGAAAGCTTAAATCTAAATCAACCAAGTGAACAACGTGATGGCTGACATGAAGAAAACGCTGGGCTACCTCAAAATTGGTGATGGAATTACAGCTCCCATAGTAGCTACAACTCCTTCGCTACGTTGATTCAAAGTACCGCCGTTCGACGGGACTTCGTCATGGTCGGCTTACAAATTCCAGTTCGAGGCTGTCATGAAGGCGAACAGCTGGAATAAAAGTCAGGCCATGACTGTTCTGGAAGCTCTCGGTTAGGAAGTGACTTATGAGCAGCTCCTTCAGGCATGGGAGGTGAGATATGGCGACGCTCACCTGGAACACGTCTTTCGTGAGCTTAAAGATCGCGTGCGACGCATCAACGAAAACCTGCAGCAGTGGGACCTTGAGGTGGAGAGGCTGGTTCGAAAAGCATGCCAATCTGTATCTGCGCTCATTGAAGGGAACCTGGTGCAGACATTTATCGACGGCATCCGCGACCTTGAAGTCAGAGCTGCTGTGTGGCTCGGACACCACGTGACACTTAAAGGAGCCTTGGCCCGTGCACTGCAGGTGGAAGCCGTGCGGCCGTTCCCATCGTATCAGGGAGATTGTAGCAACTATAGTTCACGACCGCAATAAAGATTACATCCCTAGGTGCTATGGCTGTGCGGAAAGGGGCCATCTTCGATCCAGATACCCTAAGCGAACCATAGAAAGGGAAGGTGATCGATCTCGAGAGGGTAGTGCGATTAACAGCACCGCCCAGCAGCACCAGGAAAATGAGTAAAAGTCAGGACTGCGGGGCGGGTGCTGGCTGATGTTAAAAGAGCTCCAAGAATTTCGATCTCACAAACCCATGATGGGAACAGCTTAATCATCAAGGGCATGATCAATGAAATGCCGTGTTTGATTTGTCAGTTTATAAGTCAGTCCCTTAAGGACTCCGCATACAACCGAGGACGCATTAATTTGGTGACAGCGGCCCGCCCGAGGAGAACGAGATGGAGTTGAAGCTAGGCAATATGATCTATCTGTATAATGTCATCGTGGCTGATATAATGGACGACTGCATCCTGGGCCTAGACTTTATTAGAAAGAATTGTTGTGTCACAAGACGCGAATTGCTAGCTGTGGTAATGTCGTTGCTGCGGTTTTTAGCAAATATCTTCTGGGCAGAAATTTCACTTATAAAATGACCGTGCTGCACTTAAATGGCTATTGCAGTTCAAAAATTCATAAGGACAAGTTGCGAGGTGGATTGAACTACTGCAGGAATACGACTTTGTGATCGAACATCGCAGCGGGAAATCTCATGGCAACGCAAATGCATTGTCGAGAAGACCTTGTCCTGAAGATTGCAAACATTGTACTAGGCAAGAGGGTAAGAAAGTGGTAATCGTGAGGATGATCAGGGCAGGCATCAGACCACCTCAGTAACGATTGGAAGGACAGCTTACAACATGCACAGCAGGAAGATCCTGTCATTAAGCCGATTCTGGAATGGATGAAGGCCAGTGCTCCTAAGCCCAAGTGGAGCGACATCTCGGCGATGAGTTCGACCACGAAAAGCTATTGGGCCCAATGGGACAGTTTTCTGATTCAGGGTAGAGTCCTGTGCCGTAAATGGGAAAAGGAGACAGCTGGCATTTGCAAATGGTTGTCCCTAAAGCTAAAGTACCGGATGTTCTACAGCTGTACCATAATGATTGTTCAGGAGGTCATCTTGGAGTTAAACGAACTCTACTGAAGATCCGAGAACGGTTTTAATGGGTCCACTGTCGAGATGATGTCGAGGACTGGTGTCGCAAGTGTACAAGTTGTGCGGCTGTAAAGGGACCTCAGACTCATAGTAGAGGTGCGTTAAAGTTGTTCAATGTTGGTGCACCATGGGAGAGAATAGCCATTGACGTGGCGGGGCCGTTTCCGGAAAGTGAAAGTGGTAACAAGTATTTCATGGTTGTGATGGATTACTTCACTAAGTGGTCAGAAATCTTCGCCATTCCAAATCAAGAAGCTTAAACAGTTGCATATAAATTCGTTCATGAAGTTTTTGTCGTTTTGGAGTATCTTTAGAGATTCACAGCGATCAAGGAAGGAATTTTGAGTCTCAAATATTCCAGGAAACTTGCCGGATTATGGGTACTCATAAAACAAAAATCGAGAACAACTTCTTACCACCCGCAATCAGATGGAATGGTAGAACGATTTAATCAGACATTGGAGAGGTACCTAGCAAAAGTTATGGAAAATCGGCAACGAGATTAGGACAAGCACATATAACCGTTTTTGTTGTCATATCGAAGCGCTGTTCACGAAAGTACATCAGTGACACCAGTTTTCACAAACTTTGGAAGAGAATTACGGCTGCCTGCAGACCTGATCACCGGGATACCACCTGATGCCCCACGCAGTAAAACGGATTATGCAAATGACTTGCGAAACAAAATTAATGACATTTATAAGCACGTCAGACAATCGGGCCAGCAAATGATGAAAACCCAGTATGACCGCAAAATGAACAACAAAGGGTTCGACGAAAGTTCACTAGTGTGGTTGCACAATCCAGTCCGCAGCACAGGGAAATCTCCTAAGCTTCAAGCTAAATGGGAAGGACCGTACGGGATCGTGACAAGGATCAATGACGTAACCTAACGGATACAGAAAGGTGCAAGAGGTAGTCCTAAGATCGTCCATTTGGATCGACTGGCGCGTTATTATGGGGCCAGAATCACTACACTTCAAGCACAAAATCAGGTTATTTGCAAAATCTACAAAAAATATAACTTACCAAATTGTCAATAGTTATGCAAACGTAAATAGAAGTACAAGATCATTGAATTTCATGTGTCCTAGTGTACGAAGCTCGGTAACGCATGGGAAACTTGATGAAATTAAGTTTATCATCCTTACGAAAAGTTCACGTCGTTATGACTGAAACATGGATAAAATATGGAAAAAAGGCACAAAAACTCAAATGGGGAAATTTCACCCATTACTATAACTTTAGATCCCGTTCTAGAGATGACGTAGTCTCAATCTATGTTCATAATAATTTAAAACATAATTTTGTAGAAAGCAAATGTAAAAAAGATAATCATTATCTATGAATACACTTAAAAATATTTTCACTGGATATCGGAGTTATTTACTAACCAGAAAGAATAAATGCTAGTAACTTTTTGATGACATTTACATAAATAGTTAAGAGCCACAAACGCGCTACAATTTTTGGTGTTTTCGATAATGATCTACTTAAAAAGGGACGCTTAGTTGAAGACTACAAAAAAGTAATAAACGAAAAAATTGTACACGCGATAGATCTACCACTAGAATCACATCAGACCATATCAGCTCTAACCTAAAAGAACACGACTTTCATGTGGCAACAATAAAATCCCTATTATCAGACCATAAATAAAAATATTTTGAAGTAAAACATTACAAGCCCAGATCTAAAAAAACAAATAAGTATTAAGTTATAAATTACCAAAACCTCTACTGCGACATGATGAATAAGAAATACACCAATGGTCAATATATTACACTTGAAGAATCTATCAAATTAGCTATAAAAAGGAACAAAGTGTTAAAAACCAAAATATTGAACGCTCCTCGAAAAGACTGAATAAATAAATATGTATTACTTTCTAATAGTAACTAAAGAACTGATAGACGAAAGCTATGGAATAGTTTTAAACAAAATCCGGGAAACCTAGAAATTTAAAAAATAATCAAGAAGGAAAGAAATTAAACCTTCGAGTTTATTCAAGCAACAAAAAATGAATATTACGATAAAGCAGCGAAACGTTGAATTCGAACGAGCTGCCTTCGCGCAACACTCATTCTTTTTCACTCAACTCCGAAGCTCAAGAATGGCTGTGACATCCCTTCAGCGATTCATGAGATGTTTGATATGAATTGGTTTATTTTGATTTTTAAATTTTGAAAGGCGACCGAGCCACGTGTCCTACCTGCCCCACCTTAGTTACGCCACTGCTTGTAGGTCATACAAATACTTGTTCCGAGCGGGATTCAAACCCGCGGTCCTTAGCGCTGTAACTCATTGCTAAGCTACTGTGTCAGACTGCCGTTAATAATATTCTTGAAACATTCATAACAGGTTATTAAATTATAAACTTATAAATTAATTAACAATAATAATTAAATATATTATTTTTCGTCCTTACTACTAGATTACCACAAAAATGAGGATATTGACAAGTTAGACCTTTTCAAGTTAAATGAAAGCGTTACGGCGTAAGTATTCGTTTACGATTTTAGTTTTTTCAGTTATTTGGTAAGTTATTATTAATTTTATTTACGTTTTATATAATTTAATGTTTACAGGATGGAAATTGAAAACAAGTATAGACATTTTGTTGAATGCAAACAGAGCTGTGGTAAGTTTTTGATTTATTTTACTAAACCTTATAAGGTGATAGAGTTATTTTTCTGCAACTAAGTATTGGTACGTCCATTGCTTTGTACTATCGATTTAAAGGCTGTGGAGAAACAGTGTTTGCCGGCTGTGAGTTATTCCATCATAGGCCTCAGATATGACAACGAACATGTAGTCGTCCTTCCTTTGTTTGGAGCTGTTTGCCGATGCCAATGTGATACAATAGCTATTTCTAGCTATATCTAGTCTTTGTTTTATTTGTATTTATTTGCGATCGCGGTGTTATAGTCTCCAACTTGGGAAAAAACTCTCCGTAGCAAGATTTTTTTAAATACAATAAGCCAATGCTTAACTACAATCTCATATGATGGTAAGAGAGACAGCCGAAGATAGTAAAGGGCACTGACCTTAGCTTAACGAAATTCTACTCACTCTTGCTTCTAAGAACACCCACATAATAATCAGATAGAAACACAGATGATGGCAAATTATTTAACTCCTTTGTTGTATGCATTACGAACGTTGAAGCGAACTGTTGCTGAATGCGTGGTATTCGTCAACAAAGGGATGGAGATCATGTGAATATTTGCGTCGAGAATTAAATAGATGGTGCTGCCATCTATCGAAAGTTGTGAGATATTTCATTCTTCATAGTCACTTAGTCCTGCTACAACCATAATATAGCTGTAGCATTGCTCTACCATTTATAATCCACAAAAATAAAATAACGTAGAATCTAACAAAGTAAATGACATTACAGATGGTGAAGATTTCAAACAAAAATCTGTAGAAGATATATCTCAATTAAAAGTTGAAGATAATATGAGTGAGACTAGTAATGAGTTTGTTAAAAGTAAGTACACTTCCGAACTTTGAGTAGTGGGTTAATTCAGATGACTTAAAGGTGTATCTAGTAAGGGTAGGGTGTAGAATCGTTGTCTGCGTAAGCGTCCTTCATGTGGTGTCGGGCTTATGATGCCATGTAATGAAGCAAAAACTATTAATAATAAAAATACTAAAAATAAATGAATTGTGATCTTACTCGTATTAATAATATACATTTAATAGTTTCTAAGCTGCATAGTTTTCAGGGTCATATTTATGTTATTTAGGAGATGTAGTTTTTGCGGAGTTAGGTCACAGCTCATTAAAGCCACCCGGCACCCGACCCAGACCGCCTCGCCTCGAGCGATTCGTATTAACTTCTTTCATATGGACTTTTGTATGGGCCTGCGCTCACTACATCAACTCCGTACCATCACCGGATCGCCTTGCTCACGAGGTGTCCATGCACGGACTGCGAGTGGACCACTCGATGATAGCTCGCTGTTGGCATGCTTACCTCGCGTGAAGCGCGAGCTGACAACGCGTGGTTCATTCACGCGAGTGCGATGCGGCGCTCTCCACCAACCCCTCATTTCGAGCCTTCCTTTCGAATGTGTCGGACGAATTGTTGTTTGTTTTTAAAATGAACAAAGAAAAACTTATGGAAGAAGTTCGGAAGTATAATTTATTGTATGATTTAAGGGTCACTCGCTGATCACGCGAGGTCGACTCGTTGACGACGCGAGGTCTACTCGATGACCACGCGAGGTTCACTGGTGACAACGCGGCGTCTACCCGTCGTCCACCTGTCGACTACGAGTGGACGCCTGGCTACGAGGCGGTGAGGGTCGGGTGCCGGGTGGCTCTAATGAGCTGTGACCCTAACGGTCGCAGGGTAGGGAAAAAACGAGGCTGAACTTTTGCCTTAGGATCGCCTGCGCAACTTCTTTCCTAAACATTGTAGAGTATCCTTCGAACACCGCCAGAATTTTATCAAGACTTGGTTCAAGTTTGTTAAAATATCTCCAATAGTTTTGGTAAAATATATGGCATCAAGTCCTTCTGTTCTAAAAATTATAAAAATATCTCCTCTATAGGAAAAACATTTCTTCATCGTCCACAATGAAAATACGTAAAATATCGGCTGTTTCGTTAGCCAGAATATAATCATAAAGCGATTTTTCCATTATATGATTTTTTCTATGATTATAAGCTACATAATAATATATAGAACAATTATTCAGTTCATAGTTCATAGTCTAAAGAGGTACTTTACTAGTGTAACTATCATATACTGCTGTAAGTATGTCTATTCAAATTAGTTTCTCCAAATAATGTGATATAAAATGATGCAGAAAACAATTGATAACTTCGATACTATTTTTACTTAGATAACTATTTTTGAGTGGTTTTTGTAATTTATGGGTATATATGGGTATTATGGGTATTAATATGTCTTAAAAGGCGTAATTTGGTTTATTTTTGAACAGGGTGCGTGCATCAATGGATTCAAATGACTGATAAAAATATCGTTGTCGTCGTATTAAGAATTGGGCAAAATAAAAATTCTTAGTTTAGCAAAAAACGGTGCTTATGGGTAGTTATTCCTATATAAAACTTTTACACTGGAAGGGCAAATGAAGCATCTTCGAGTATTCTTCTCATACTTAGATTTTCTCATGTTATAATTATAGTGTAATAGTTATGATTTTAATAAACACATAAACATAATTAAATTTTTGCCAGTTTATGATTATAGTAATCAAGACAGCGACTCTTCTCATGCAATATCCCATACAAGTAGTAATGAAAACTACGAATGCAGTATAGTAGAGAAGGAAACTACTTCCGAAACTAAATTTAAAAATATTGCTTATCCTAAACTTGTTAATCACTCAGGCGTTAGAAGTTCAGGTGACACAGATCATAGTCTCAAGATGAGTAATCGAAGTAGATATAAAAAGTTGCAAAATAAATATAATAATGATGAAAATATCGACGATTTACAAATCGCCAAGGTAATTAACATAGACAGTAAAAAAATGCAGAAAAAAAGAAATTAAAAGCAGTAATAAGCGCGAGGGCAAGAACTGTAAAAAAATACCGAAGAAAAAGATAATTGCGAATAAAAGTTTTTATGCTTATTTAATCAAGAACAATATTTCCTCCACTGAATTTGAACATTCTAAAGTCGCTATGAAAAAGAAATATAAGCAGCATCGGCAGTTAAGATCTTCTGTGTCAAAACCTGTAAGACTCATAATCGATATTATTTTTTTTTAAATTTGATTATCTATATTTATCCTTTCTTTTTGGTTTAAGATTCCTAACAGCCTAATAAAATTTTGCCATCAAAATATGAATACTAAAGGAATTATGAATGGTTCGATATTCACCGTTGGTAATAATCACAGAAATACAATTTTAAAAAGATCTGAAGAGTCAATAGCAGGTACAAAGGAAAGTTGCCTTATAGAAATTGTTACTGATTGTAATAGATCGGCCGAAACTATAGCTTTGCGTAGAAGTATTGCTACTAATACAAATGATCGTTACTTACACCATAATTGTGAGCAGCTTTCGGCATTAGAACTTAACGCAGACAAAGTACCTTATGTAAAAAAGGACAAAAGCTTCACTAGTGAACATTTATTATGTCTGGAAGATGCTAAGTCACAAACAATATTTTTATACGGTAATTGTTTTAAAAATTTTACATTAAAATTATAGTTACATGCAATAAGTTTGTAAGAAAGTATTCATTCGTCGAGAACAAGCCAGTTTCTAAATAGGCTGTTTTAATGAATTTTAAAATTATTATAATATACCGAAGTGTATAATAGATTTTTTAATGATATAAAATAATCAAATAAGCTAATAGTCTAACTGATGGAATTGGTAAGTGATTATTGCAGCACACGGGAAACTTTAAATGAAGAAGACAACTGACTTTATATAAGCCCTGAAGGCTAAGTTAAAAAGCCTGTAATATTTTATTTTTCTACTTTTAGGAATATTAGTAAATTCGTTTATTTGTTTCTAATCTAATTAATATTAAATATAACTAATATTTCAGAAATAAACTTTACACTTTTCTAACAAATTAGCTTCCCCGCTATGAAATCTGTCAAATATTTCACTTCATCCAAAGTGGCGCTGCCTAGTGGCAGAAAAAGTAGTCGACACCCTCATTAGTAGACAGAGAAACCTACTGTCTATGCCTTCATTAGTGGCGTCAGAAAAAAATTGTGACTAATTGTCACCAGTTACTTACTAATTCTTAACATAATATAATTCAAGGTATCGTTGGGGAGGATTCCAGCTAGGTGATCTTATCGCTATAAGCGTATTTACAATCCTTTAACTTGCGAATTGGTAGCCACTTTAAGCTAAGTACGAAAATGTGAAACATTTTAATAATATTTGCGTAAATTAAATATAAATCTTATTCAGAAACTTTGAAATCACAACAAAGTTCTGTTCATATATTTCCAAATTTTTAACTTTTTCGCTTATGAAGATTACATTTCTATCAAAAATATTTATATTTATTATAAACTAGAACAAATTGTTAGCCTAAGTGAGTCCAATTTCGAACATACGGCTAGTCGATGAATCTAATTTATTTCGGTTAGAGCATCACGTAATTATTTGCTATACATATTCTTCTCTATAATTCCTTAAAAAACTTCCATAGATACAAAGTTCCAGTGAAAATTAAACCATGATTAGTGTTCTTCGAAATTGTGGTAATAAATTCCTTATTTTATTAAAAAAAATTATCAACATTTAGTTCAGAGAAATCTTAAAACTTTTGACATGCTTATATAAATAATCGTATCTTAAGAATATTAAACATTACAGATATTAACGAACCTAGTACTTCAAAAGGAGTTTGCCATGTTAACATGGATGTGCAATGTGGTTTAGATGCTGCTTTTATATGTCCGATGCCTTCTGCAACAAAGTCTCTAACCAGACTATCTACTAACTTCACAAATATCGAAAATGCCGTATCCGGAGAAGATAAAACAACAGAGTGTGACGTATTTATAAATTCTAGTGTCAAATCTAATGGAATTCAAATAAAAGATTCCGATATAATACTGCTTAAAAACGAAGACAGTTTTCATAAGACTCATTTTGTGGTAAATTACAATACAGTTATTGAACCAAACTCTGAACATTTAGTTATTGCAGAAACGGAAATTGTAAATCCCAAGCAACCATCTAATATAATTAAATCAGAAGATACTTGTCCTGACTATCGCCAGAATGCAATTTGCGTTGCTAATCACGAACAATATGAAGAAAACCCTTCTAGGTCTTTATTATCAGTTACTTGTTCATCAAAAGAGATGAGCAAGGGCATCATAGGACCATTTATAAATAAGGAAGTTGAATTCATGAATAATATTTCACTTTCTAAGCCTACCCTTGCATTTGGAGGAATTTTAGTTCATAGCTATAAAGATAGAAAAACGTGTGAAGACATAATCTATCAAGGAGATTGGCAGCGTTTTGTACCAAAAACAATTGACAGAAAAAATCGTTTCGATACAATCGTATTTAAAAGAATGATGAAACAAAGTTATGACAAACGTAAAAAATTATTTCTTGAAGAAAGTATACAACAAAGAAAACTAAAAAAGACTGAGATTAATAATATATGTAATGATCGTAAACAACGAGTAAAGATTTGGAGCGAGAAATTAAAAAGTAACAAAACGTCATCTAAGGTATTTTTAATTCTTATAATGTTTATTTTTAAAAGCAAACATTTTTATTACTCTTGTGTTATTTATTTACTTTTGAAAATTACAGGTATTATTGAAGACAGTTAAAAGGTAAGTAAATACATTGCAAGTAATTTGCGATTTTTCGTAACTGATGATCAGTTTTAGTTTCATTTCAGTTCGGTTTTACCAAGAAGTAAAAAAAATGAATATGTTGACTTGAATGATAAAAAGGCTTTGATGAATTCAAGTGTTACAAATGAAAAAAACTTAGTAGTAAAACACATGGAAAAAAGTTACATTCCAAAGTATTTAAGAATACGAAAGTGTAATTTTTTTGATAAGCTTAGACAAAGCATAGGTACAGTTAATGTTGAGAAAAGAGATAATAAAAGAAAATATTTGCATACAAATTCAAGGACGAAGGACATCAAAAGCGGTTTATTAAAATTTATTCGTGAACCTCCACAAAATACCAATTACATTCACGTTACTCATAGAAAAGCTTTGAAATCTTCAAGTGCTACATATGAAAATAACGTTATAGTAAAAAACAGCGCCAAAAATTATATTCCGCAGAATTTAAAGAAACGAAAGCTAATTTTTTTAAATAATAATAAACTTAAACAAAGCATAGATTCAGTTAATGTTAAGAAAAGAGATATTAAAAGAAAATATTTACTTACGAATTCAAAGACGAAGGACATCAAAGGTGATTTATTGAAATTTATTGGCGAACCTCGACAAAACATTAGTTATACTATATTTCGTAACAAAATTGATAATGAAAACGAAACTAATATGCGAAGTTTAAGTATTAAGAATAACAGTAGCATTAAAATGGTACGTAAGGCACACTCGGGAAATAGTTCATGTTCATCTACAAACAGTGTAAGGACAATCAAACAATTATCTCCAAACAGCAAAGAATCTCAATTTAATATAAAGGCGTCTAAGAGTAATTTAGTTAATAAAATAAATAAATCATCAAAATTGATCAAAAAAACCGTTAATAAATCATCTCCACTATTCGATAATAAAGAAAATAGCCCGGATACTTCAAAAAATCTTGAAACAGAAAATATACAATTTCTAGGATGGAGTAAAAAGCCCTTAATGCCTCAAAACATGGTATCTGTGCATAAAGATAAATTATCTCACGTAGATATTTCGAAAGATTTTGACTCTGTTGATAGAAAAAATTGTAAGTCGGGTACTTCAGTATGTAGAAGCTTATCATTACACGAACCCAGTGAAAATATTGTTTCTAAGAATCAAGTTCATATCGATAACCCTAATCTAGTTTTGGTTTTAGAATCTCGTAAAGAGCTTAACATGGATTATAAAAAACTTTCTTCTCACTCACCTCCAAGTGAGGCTATTCAAGACTTAGACTATTCGCTTGATGCTGAATTGTGCACTTCGTTTAATAGTGCTAATAATATAGCTAATGATAATGAATCAATAAACATGAGAAATGAAGTTTTAAGTATTATCGAGGAAAGACTAAATTTTATTAAAAATTCTTCAAATGTGAAGATTTCTATTAGTGAGCAAAATGAAAGTTTTAATTTAGAAGAATTGAATAAAAGCTGTGAAAAAGTAAATTGCTTTACTGATAAGTCTCTTGAAAATGAATTTACAGCACACTCCATGCATTCAGGGTCAAAACCTGTGGATGTTGATTTGATTTCATTTAAATCTTTTGCATCAATATCAGGATATTCAGAATATTTTTTAGCTGATAGTGAACTAAGCAGCACTTTAGATTCTCTTGAAATTTTTACCTCACCTGAGAGATCTATGCAAGAAATATTTGAAAAGAATAACAAACTATGCATTCCGGTAAGATATTTTAGTTGTTTGATAACATTTCATATTCTTATTAATGAACGAGTAAACATTAAAATGTATTTTTGTTAATGCACTATTCATAAAGTGTACAGATCTAGTATCGCAAGCATTTAGTGGTTTTTCAATAAATAAAAGGAATATAAGCGAGCAACCGGATCCCATCAATCTAGTTGACTCTGAAACTGGCAGTGTCGCACATGGCGTAGAAGTAAGACGAGTAGTAAGTTTAATCTAATTATTGTCGTCATATGCCTGTAAAATATAAAAATATTTAAACGTGGTAGAGCAATGCTGCAGTTATATTAGAAGTATAGTTGTAGCACGAATGGGTCGGCTCAACCGGGGAAGGATCACGCTCTCACAGAATACCAGCGCTAAATAGTAGCTTAATGCGGCTGTGTTTCTTATGGTAAGTGTAGAGAAACGGAGACCCTTTTTACTGAAAACGAGGCACTCCATCTTAGTCCTCACGGGTGACAACGCATCTGCATTTTGATTCGTAATCGAGGATAGATTTAGATGTCTATGGGCCACAGCAACCACTTACAATCAGGTGGAGTTTGTACCACGTAAACCACGTTATTATGAGAACTTAAACGTTCTCAATAACTTCATATCATTCGCTCTGCAAAATATTGCATTCACTAATTTGTGTAAACTCTAACATTGTTTTAGACATCAGAAGAGATATTTACATCAAGTAGGTCATCAGAAACCTACGTATCTTGTCAAATTGATGATGATAATATGGTCCCACAATGGCTTTTTCACTTGATGAACCAACAACAATCCGTAAGATATTTATTATTTCCCTTTCTATGAATGTCATCTCTGTAGTTCAACGAAACGACGTGTAAAAGGATGTTTTTAAACATTTTATTTTTCGGGATTTTTTAATACTAAGAAAATTAAAAAAAAACACTATCATCATATCAAATAGAGATATCAAATAACACCTTCACGGATCGGTCAGGGTATCTATTTTTCCAACTTTCGTTACATAATTTTTCTTTGGGCGTTCATGTTTTCTATCAGACGTGCACGTTTCTTTACTATCTTTACCATACTAACGAAAACGTGGTTAATTCGTCGACGAGAGCCGAACACTGTTAACTCGCGTCCTATAAAATTTTAAGGCAATTACTTAAGCCTAAAGCTATCTCTGAGGAGTTTGATGGATAGTTTAAGTTTTTTTAATAACAAAAGGGATATTAATAGTTGAATAAAATGTGTTTTTAAATGTGAAAATTTTCATTTATCTAAAATGTTTTTTAAAGTTATCAGATTCTGTCTTAATTCACGTTAATCAGATATTACGAGCATTATCGTAGTAGCTATAAAAGGTATCACTTATCAATTATTACTATTAGGAAAACCGCTTACAATTATTAGTTATATGACTGTTTTGAGGGGTAAGCACTGACTCTATATATACAAGTACACTGGATTGGCTATACACCGTGATATGATAAGGCGATTTGATCTGTCACTCGAGAACCTTTCTTCTCCATCGGTCATCAGTTCTTCGAGCTATATGGCCGTTCTATTGCCATTTCAGCTTACTAATCCGTTGGACGATGTCGGTCGCTCTAGTTCTACTGCGGATATCCTTATTGCTAATTTTATCGCGCGGGAAAAACCTAGAGCATAGCCTTCTTTATAGTTCGTTGAGCGACTTCGAAATTCCTCATACGGCCAGCAGTGAAGGATCACGTCTCAGATCCATAGGTCATCACTGGCAACATGCACTGGTTGTACAATCTAGTTTTGAGGTATACCTAATAAAACTACACATCACATTTGCCATGGGTTGCTACTAATAAAAAAGAAAAGAAAAATCAAGATACCAACATAAAAAGGAAGAATTTTTTCCCAGACTCTTTGTATTTTGGAAGCAGCAACGTACCGTCTTCCATGTTTTCGAGATCAATATCCGAATCACCTTTGTCGGTGCATACTGCACTAGCTCCTAAGCTTCCCAGATTCGGAAGTGCCACGTATTCTGGAGGGCTTGACATATCGCAATCCATAGATTCTTGATAGAACACTTGATCGTCTTTGTCGGTGGATGTTGTGTAAGAGGAAGCTGCCAAAAACCGTAAATGTAAACGATGGCCAGAATTTGTAAATAAGAAAGAAACTAAAGTAGGGACACTAAGAAGTTAAAGCACAAATTAAATACCTATCTAAACTCGAGAGAGAATTAAATCTCTAGACTCGCACTTACTTAAACCTCATGGTGTTCTACCTCCGCCGCACATTGGCAGGGCCATAGAAACGCTTTCATGCACATCCGCGGCCCCACCAGCGCCAGCCGCCTAATGGCAGCCCCTCATTAGTTGCGGATTTCTCCTCCCCGTTTTCCTTCTTAGATAAGGTGCACCAAAAATACAAGGCGCAATGGCTATCTGCACTGCGGACTCCCCGAGCCCAATATGTGAAAGGATCTAGAAAAAAGGAGCTAGAAGGATCGGGACTACCAAGTGGTGCAGCCTCATCAAAGTCGCGAAGGACAGTCGAATGGCGCATCGCCAATTGCCATACCAACGTTCCTCTTCCCTTACGACTCAACCTCGACTACAGCGGTACAGAGAAAGGAAGCCCACTGGCACACCTCCATTGAGACTCTACATCATAAGCAGACCTTTCTTCACTTGGCTATGGCCCTTGAGTTGTGGGGAAAATGAGAAGAGAAGAAATAAAAACATTCGAAATAATAATCTAATTGTTACGGTCCTCAGCTGCCCCGACAAAAGTCGACTGGGCTAGGGCCCATCGTAACCCAACTCGACGAGCAACCGAGAGTTTGGGCCCAAATGGCTTATGGATAATTAATTTATAATGGCTGGATAAGCAAACACAAACTTACCGAGTTCCGGAGGTAGGGTCGACCACAAGGTACCGTCAGGGGCAAGTAAATGGTATGTGTGAGTTGTGTAGGAAGGTGTGTAATGTAACCTGACGTCACCGATGTAATCGGCTAGCAGACCCACATGCGTTGACCAGCTCCACAAGGTGCAATCACTCCAGTGGGCGTCACCGTTATCGGAACTCAAGTACAACGTCACTTAGCACAAACTATAATCGAATAAGGACGCGATCTCCTCCCGGGTCACAAAGTTTAGCGTTCCACCAGACAAAGCAAAAATTTCTTCGTACGATATTAAGATACTACACAAGCCACTCGTCGATGCAAATTAATGGCAATCGAAGTTACATTAATCACTCAAACTCTAGGAAAGCCTCGTTGTCACGTATACGTACAAAATAAGACAACGCAAAGGAGGCCGTCGTAATGCGACGTTACGATTCTTACGTAACTTCCGACCTCTAATCGACACGGCCGTCGCGTACAATCGAATATTCTAGACTAATAGGTGCGGCCGCAGGCTGCAAAAAACGAATTCATTTTCAACATGATTAAAACTACTTTTACGGATTTTATCGCGTTTATTTTTACTTTTTATTTTTAATTCCCGACGTTTCGGGCGCTTTCCAGCACCCATGGTCACGGGGGACTGAGATGACTGACGTCCTGATGTAATTGTTAAACCCGTAGTACCTACAGCTTTTTTAATTATTGTTTATGGTCCGATCTATGCAAAATGAACTGACTATGTCTTGAGGTCTTGCAGTGGTATGCTTGGGTTTAGTTTTAATTTTATTGATTATAGGATCCCAAGCAGGTGGTAGTACCCAGCCTCCTTCTCTATTGAAATTTATATATTTAATATTATTATATAAGAAATCATTATTAATTCATTTTCAAGTTTTAAGTTACTACGATTTGGCCTAAACACCAATACTTTACTTACTGGTACTGGTACTGCCAGAAAATATTGTCGGTATACTCGTAATGCACTTTCAAAATGGTGCGTTCCTCGTGTCTTATAAAACAGTCGTCTGTGAAATGTTTAGAGCAAAGATGATCATTTTGTTTCGGACGCCAATTCACAATATTTATGCTTTTAAGCTATAATTTTAGTCTAGGTTCGGTTGGAAACCTGTTAATTAATAAACGTTTTATAATTATATGTTGTCGGCGACTTTCTTTAAACAGATATTGATAGGAAAGAACATCGATAAGTATTATAGACAAGGAACTCGACAACCCTGTTGAATTTTATTGTTTATTAAAACTCAGTAATATAAAGCCAAACATGTTGGTAATTATGATATTAAGATTAGAAACAAACTTTAAAGTACATTTATTGTCAAATAGTTAGCTGCAAATTCACTTACTTGTGGAATGTTATATCACTTTCCTTTTGGTAACGAGTTTTACGTATTACGTACACTCTCATTATTATTAAAAATATTTCTTATTTTGTAATTAAAATTATACACAATCAAACCACATATAAGTGTGGTTTTACAGTGACGCTTTCGCCAGCGCGGTTGATAAACGTCGCGGGCCACGAGCGTTGCGTCTCTTGGATCGTTACACAGTTTAACCAACACGCGCGGATGGCCCGCGCTGGCGGCATTCAGCCGCGCGTTTCAACAGTATACAAAACCGCGCGACTCTAAGCTCGTTTTATAGTTTCGAGCGGGTCATCCGCGCGTCTACGGGCTGCGCTTACCACCCGTGCTGGCGAAAGCGTCACTGTGAAACCACACTTTTACTTTCGTTTTTAATTTAAAAATTCAAAATACAAAGATAAGTTAAATAAGACCAGACTTTGGCATATTATGTCAATTTTAGTTCCCGGGACGGCAAATGGTGGCGCTTCATATTGGCACAGACATTTTGTATGGTATAGCCAGTCCAGCGTACTTGTATATATAGAGGTTCGCAGATTACTATCAATGATTTTATAAACTTGTTTTTTAAACTTCGCGTTCGTTATAATTTTAACCGAAACCATTCCGCAAGTTTTTTTACAGATGAAAAATACGTTATTTAAAAGGCGAGGAAAAAGCTTAATTGCAAAAATTTTTAAGAAACCAAGCAAAACTTTATGTGATACTTTTGTATCTGTATGTAAAAACTAAAAGTTAATAAATTAGTTAATTTTATGAATCAAGCACTTAGGCGAGTAATATAGTATGGGGAGCGTGTATTATTGACGGTGGGTTGGTGACAAGGCTCTCCTTGACCCCGGGCGGCAGGGTAAGTGCGGGCAGCATTCTCAAAATAAAGTAACAGTTGCCGCGATATTAAAATACTGTAATATTTGTTGTGGTGGCCTTGTTTTCAGACCCTCTAAGCTCTTAAACATTAAAAAAGTTACAACATTGTTTTAAAGTTTTTAAGCTAAATTTAAATGTATCAATCTTCTGGTAATCACTCGTCTCAAATTATAGTACAAGAACCCGCAACGATCAGACCTTCGTTATTTTATTAAAGCTGAAAGTTTCTCTGTGTATGTCCCTAATAAACGATCCCCTAATGTAAAGTTTGGATAGTGGTTGCTTTGAAAGGTAACAGGTTGCAAAGATGTATAAAATTGCACCTCAAATTTATTGAAATACTCAGTTTTTATATATTTTCCTTTGGAATAATATTAGAAACCACGTTGTCCATTGTCAGACACTTAGTACGATTACAACCTCTGTCAGACCCTTAAATTATAATTACAGTGTAAACTCTAAATAATGACACTCAAGGGACTATGAATATTTTGACGTTATAGAGACTTGTCGTTAAATGGAGCGAAGAAAAAATTAGAAAAAGAAAAAGTTTATTTCGGACCAGTGTTAGTAATTTCTTAAAAACAATTGTTATTTGAACGCTATTGCGTATATTCTGTTATATATAAAAGTTTTATTTTTTAATTTTCGTCTGACGT